GGATGCTGCGAGGAGCCGCGGAGGCCTGTCGCAAAGACGAAGCCGGCAGGAAACCCCGAGGAGCTTCGGAGGCCTGTGGTTGAGGTGGAGCCGGCGTCGGCTGGCCCGGAGCGTGGGCGAGCGTCCTCGGAGCAGGTGCCTCAGGGCCTGACGCAACGACTCCCCCGCTTTTGAAAATGATCTGAGGTGCGCATAAGGCCGGACTAAGCCTTAGCCTTCAAGGTGGTCAAAACAGGACACCTTTTAACAGCTAACTCTTGTTATCACCATCCTTACTGTTCGACTCTGTTTTTCAAAATACAGTCTCTGAACCGTGCGCATCAAAGCCGCCAACCCGAGAACGCGGACGCCGGGCCCCTGCCGCCCGCGGGGGTCGCCCACTGGCTTAGAAAATAAACAGTATTCAAGAAGGCCGAGGAGAACCTGGAAAGAGGCTGTTTCCCAGGAAGTGTGATGCCTGAGCCTTTGGTGGTCTCCTGACCAGGGCTGGCAAGGCCGACCGCAGTTAGACTGCACCCCGGGAGGACTGTGTTGGTTGAAACCGAAGGCTTCGAGAGGAAGGCCGAGCAATCCTGGTAACTTGGGCGCGTTGAGTCATGGCCCGGCAGACTTACTCCGTTATTAAGTATGAGTTAATCTGCTACGCTCACTCCAAGCCCAAACTCCACACCCATGTAATTACATACTCAGATCAGCAGCTAGGTTTCTTGTAGGCTATTGCTCAGAATAACCCCCGCCCCCGATCATAACTCTGAACGATATCGTGGTTTCTCCAGGTTATAGGTAGTTGGGAAGATAATGTAAGTATTAAGGAAATCATAGGGTGGTCCAAATTTAAAGAAGCTTGGATCACGTCTTTGTCAGCGTAGCTTTTCCTTCAAAGACACTATTAAATTGCTCTTGGTAAGTCGTCTCCATCCTTAGTCTTTTTTTCCTTACGTGCCTCTCTGATCCAGAGAGGTGTACATCTAAATGTTAACCAATGAAGAAGCTACCAAGTCTTCCTAAAGGCATCACTCCTTCCTAGTGAAGCGATCTTTACAGACCCCGTCTACTTACAAAACCTATGGTGTCATTTTTATACCCTAAATTTGCCCCTGGCTTGGTTTTCTTCCCCTTTCATCACTCATCTGTTAATTTTATGCTGTTTGTATACTTATGTAAACTAACTCCAGTCATTTTGATGTCAAGCCAAGATGACAAATGATAAAATTAAGCAATGTCTTCATGTTTTTGGTTAGGAAAAAGATATCATATAAAGAAGACAAAGACTACATAAGCTTTTGATCCAGACTCCAAGCTCAGCTACAGGTTAAACTGAGTGACCTTAGAAAATTACCCAAGTCCTAGCCTTAGTTTCTTTATCTGAAAATTAGGGATATTGGAACCTACATTGCAGGATTATTGTGAGAATCAGATTGTTATCAGAGAAAAACGTGGGTGGTCTTTCTCTGTTGCTAGTGGGCATGGGGGTTCTTGGGGTACTGCTGGAATAAACACTTCTGGAGGCCCCCACAGGAGGATGAGATGTGGTAGAAAGCTTTATTTTTGTGGAATTAAGTTTCTGTGTTTCCAAAGTCCCATTTCTCTTAGTCCAGTCATAAAAGTGTAGCTGGGGTTTCAGTAGAGCTAGAAGCAGATCCAGTGTCCAGAGTTTCCTTTCCATGTTGGAGATGGGTCCAGGTCAGCATCAGGCTGGTTGCAGTCCATGAATCCGTTGTGTGTGGGGTCCCTATGGCTGTGAGCCATGTGGGCAGGAGTCCCACAAACCCAGAGTCTCACGAGTCCCAAAAGCAGTAAGAGAGCCAAGAGCCCAAGAGAGCAAATTCCTTTGTTTAGGGAATTAAATATCCCAAATTTTGCGCCCTTGCAGTGGCCATGCCCATTCTGGCCAATGACCTTTGTCCTCAGGTGTGACTGACAGTAAGTACCTTGCCTATGTCACTCCAGCTTTACTGGGCATCCCTCTACTGCCCCTTTGTTGGACCCCTGTGGAATGTAAAATTGTAGCTTCCTGGTGAAGCTGCCCGAATGACATGCCTATGATGTCTGGCCTTCCCTTTGCTCCTTTCCTGTTACTAACAGCTAGTTAATTATAATGGAATCAAGATGATGCATTTAAAACCCATATAATAGGCTGCTATGAGTGGCATTGTTATCAATAATGTTCAACATTATTATTCCTATATTAACATGCTTAGCACTCTAGCAACTATACAGTATAAACTTCCACATTAAAGTGAATGACATTCACAGGAAGACATGCATTAAAGATCATTTCAAAACTTTTCTAATAAAAATTTACTCATCTCACTTAAAGATGGGTCTCATGCTTAAAGCAGTGAGCACTTTTGAAAAGTTTTAAGAAGGTGACAGACCCTGCTTATCATTTCATGCCAGGACCATGTCTTAATTCTTTGGCCAGCCTGTAAGTTGGCTGCCCTTTGAAACAGGTGCCCACATTGTCCAATCAGTTAGTACTCAGGAATTTACATGGTATAAAACATGGCTGCCCCTTTGCAAAGACAATGGGTGGATTGCCTTCCCTCATAAGAAGGTCTGGGCATGGTAGCAATGTATTTGGCAACTCTACAACAGTTCAAAAGATATGATGGAAAATTAATGATTCAAGTTCCTTAAATAGGTGGGAGGGGATGGAACCAAGAGCACGGACAGAGTATTTGATTTGAACCAGGAGAGGAGACCTTATCTTCTGAGGGGAGATTGGAAAGATGCATATGTGGGTAAATTTGTTAGTCTAGCAGGAGAGAATTCCTGGATTTCAAGCCTGGTAGCCTCAGTTGCCTCAGTGACACAGTAGGCAAAAATTGTCTGAAGAGATGGGGGAATGAGAGTTAAATCTTATAGAATTTGAAAGTGGCTTATATTTGCAAGTGAGAGAACTGGGAAAGTAATGGGAAAGGATTTGAGAGGTATAGGAAACAAGCGAAAAGTTGGATGGTCAGTTCTGAGGATCTGAGAATGTAGGACTTGAATCTGTTGTGTCTTTCAGAGTGGAAAAGGAAAAGTTGAACTCTTGTCGTTATATGTTTTAATTTGTCTCAAGTAGAATTCTTTTTTATTCAACTCATTACATTAAAGAATAGGGTAGATGTGTGTTTTTTTTACCAGATTATTCATAGGACTTCTAAATAGTCATTTCATCTTAAGATTGCATGATGTCATATAAAGTATTTTAAGTTACAGCCACCTACTGTACTTTTAAAGAAGTTACTTAAAAAGAAGGTTTTTTGGTGAAGAAACAAAGGACAAAGCTAAATTCTGTGGGGAAAAGGGTAGGCTGTCTATGTAAACACAGAAAATATTACGAACTTCGTTTCTGCAGTTAGGCTTTCTGGTATCTGAATTCCAGCTTCATCACTTAGTATCTGTGAGATCTTGAGCAAGTTAAACTTTTTGCCTCAATTTGTTTTCTTCTGTAGAGTGGGGATAACACCTATGTTATGGGATTGTTGAGAGGATTAAATTAGACAGTTTACATATAGACTATATAGTTCCTAGCCCCAAATTAGCATCAGTTACTGTTAAGCAGCATTAGACTGTTTATTATCACCTCTCCTTTAATCAGGCAAACTGACAAATGGCCAGTTTTTCATAGATATCTGTTATCTCACAACTACATTAAGTAACTGTGTGCCTACGCCAAGAAAGTTTTAACTCTTTACTGCCCTAAGTTTCATCTTTCCTTTACCAGTTATTGATTTAATACTTTTTATTATTGCAGTAGAAGAAGCCAACAGAAAAGTGGTTCATGTGCCTGGACAGGGCTGGAGGGATCCATGTTTCCACAGCAGTCCCTTCAACCTTGCTTGAATGTGGAGGCTGCATAGATCACAGCTCTGCAGACTACAAGATACATTTGCTCAAAAGGAACCACAGCATCATGGACAGCTAACCGCTACACTGTTCCCCGCCATGTTAAAGCTAAGCTGAGTTTTTAAACTGTGTTTTAACTTGTGAATAGAACTTCACTGAACCACACAACAGCAATGGAGGCAGCCTGCTGTGCTGCCTTCTCTATTATGCTCTGCTAAGGGAGTTACTTTGTAGTGACAAAACTTCCCTTCTGGTGGCATGACATATCCTAGGACTTTGATGTTGGGAATTCTTCCTTTCCATCAAATGTTGGTTCTAAATCCACAGAACCAGATACAAAATTATGGTACGTTTAATTACCAATATTTTTCTATGCTTTGCTATTTCAATTTAATAGGGGTAAACTGTAGCTATTTACTTTCTAATCCTGTTTTATAATGATTTCCTACACAAGCCAGCATTGTTGCTCCGAAACACAATTTCCTCCAGAAGATTCTCCATCCAAAATATATTGTTATCCCATCACAAAGAAATAATAGGTTCTAAGTCCTAGTAAAAATTCCTCTTCTACCCTGTATTTTTAAAGAATAAGCATAGAAAAAAGCAATTGTGTTTTAACATCTTATTTTTTTCTGAAATGTGGGTATTCCAAAATTGAAAAATCTCTTTGAGGTACTGGATCCTTAAGACAACTGGTTAGCTAAGTTTAAACTTATTAATGTTTCCTTGCCATTCCAAAGAATGGAGAGCTTTCAGAACAAAAGTTCGTTCTTTATTAGTTCTTCATCAGGAAAGCTGTTTTTTCCTTAGTCCATTAATGCCAATTTCATGTCGTCTCACTAGCCCATGCATAAGCCAGTCTTCTTTCAGTTTTTGTTCCCTAATTTATTGTAGCATAAACCCATATCGTTGCTTTGCCTTTGTTACTTACCAGTAAATATTAAAACCAAACAATACCTAAGCTAGAAAAGCAGTGTAGGCACCTGTGGACTCACAACACTGGGCTGTAGGCACTTTCATAAACAGGACAGGTCGCATTCCAGTTGGAGCAACCATTGTGGTTCCACAGACAACACTCCTCATTACCCCACTTTATCTTTTCTTATATTACATTCAACACTGCCTTCCTGATTATGTACTCCAGGAGATAAAACAGTTGCTGCTAAGTCATTCTTTGGTTAATACTTCAGATGCAGGAGCCATGATGAAAACTTTTTGATCCCAAAATATTCATCCACTATCTTACCTTAAGTAGATTGTCAGCAACTATTTGTTGAAAAGATGTATGAATGGATGAATGCATTAAAATAGAACAAACAGGCAGTGTTGGTAGCTAAAATGTGGAAATGATATTGCTTTGCATTTATGTAGTGCAATTATCTTTCCAGCTATCCCAAGACAGAACAATATTTATATCATGTTGTGGATGTGGAAATCGAGACAGACAGAGGTTAGATGCCTTAAAGTCATCCAACAAGCATTTAGTAGAACCAGTTCTAGAATGTGATTGATAAAAACATAGCTATTTTTGTGTTTCTTTTCCTGATACCTACTCTATTCTTGACAATTAAAAATTACTTCAAAAACTATCCCTTGTTGCTAGGGCTAAAAAGATAAATTTTATACATGATACTATGGCAGTTACTATTGGTCAACCATCCAACACTTATTCTTCCCTTTTCCATTCACCTCTGAGAAATATCTCTCTATCCCCACCTCAGGAAAAAAATTCTGATTGNAAAAATTTTATACATGATACTATGGCAGTTACTATTGGTCAACCATCCAACACTTATTCTTCCCTTTTCCATTCACCTCTGAGAAATATCTCTCTATCCCCACCTCAGGAAAAAAATTCTGATTGTTTTAAATGAATCCTGGTAACTATATTTTTCGTATCAGTTTTGGTTTAGAAAGAGCATGTGACTCAGTTCAGGCCACTGAGATATTAGGGTCAGTTTACTGGGCAGTTGGGAAGTTTTTTGGTTGTAAGAAAGAGACAAATGATGGGGTGATGGACAGGTAAGACTTTATAGGGTCAATGAATTGGAGATCCTGTTGAGTCAAAGGAATATGCAGTTTGTACAGTAAAATATGCAAATATGCTGGAAGGAAAGGAGACTGTATTCAGTGAATGAAATGCTTAAAATGGATATTGTGAAGGTGGTGCAGTAGTTGTTGTTGATTAAACAGGATTATGAGATTAGGAAAATTTTGCCAAGGCAAGTTATAGAATACAGATCATTTAGAAGTAAGGAGGTTAAAAAAAGAAGAGAAGAGAAGAGAGGGGAGGGGAGAGGAGG